AATAAAATATGGGGGGTGCCATTTAAAAAAATTAAGTTATGGTATTTCCAAATTTCGAAAAGTTAACGTGCCGTAGTAAAGTGACCAAACGTTCTAGACAGCCGTACTCGGCACCAAAACATACTCCATCATGTTGCTTACACATGTTCTGAATCCTAAATTGATATCCCAAAAATCGAGTGTTCTCTGATATTTTAACAAATGTCTGCTGGAGCAGATTTCTCTAGAAAAATTCGAATAACTCGAGAATCGGCGAATCAAATTGCAAAAAGTAAAGTTATTCATAAACCTTGAAAACAGACAAATCCTAATATGTAAAAATATATAGGTTGTTCCATTTAAAAAAATAAAGTAGGTGGCGACTTCCGGTATAACCGGAAGAGAACGCAATTAATAATACTTAAATCTAAATTTTCAAATTTTTGTTTTGGCCAGAACCTTGTAAAGTTCTAATGGACGGTCGTCGTGGATGACCCTGTATATCTTTATATCAAGAATATTTTTGTTCTTAACTGGAGAATTCCAAAACTCTTGGCAACCAAGAATATTATTTGTTGAAAATTAAGAATATTCATCTTTTTGGTACAAGATTTTACGCCGTTTCTTGGTTTAAGATTATATTATTTTTGCGGATATACAAACAAATCCTTTATTTCAATTAAGTGTAATATGCTTGACTCAAGCATAAATTTCTCTCTGTGCGAGAAAGAGTAATTTTTCCATTTGTCTCATCTTGAATTACATGTATCCCTAAATAATAACTTAACAGTCCTAAATCTTTCATTTTAAAGAATTCATGTAATTTATATTTTAAATTTTCAATGTTCTGTTTAGAGGAAGCTGTTATCAATATGTCATCAATATAAATTGATATGTAAATTTTAAATTTTTCTGAAATTATAATATACAATTTTTTGGTAAAAACATATACAAATCTTCTTGCAATTCTCTGTGCAAAAATGCATTACAAACATCCATTTGATATATTAACCAATTATTAGTAGCACAAATAACCAATAATGTTCTGATTGTCTTTAATTTTACTACTGGAGCGTAGAGAGCTTCCTGTAAGCCCTGTTGTTGATAACCTTTTGCCGTCAACCTGCACTTAAATTGATTAATATCCCATTTACCCATGTTTTATTATCTGTTAAAGCTTTTAGTTCACTTTTTATTGGCCTTTCCCACTCATACTCGTTCTCACTGTTTATAGCTTCTTCGTATGTTATGGGTTCGTCCTGATCAACAGTAAAATAACTGACATAATCTTTAAATTTATTCGGTAACTTTATTTCTTGTTTAGGCCTCTCTTCTCTCTTAACTTCTACATTTTCTTCTTGTAAAGCATCACCATATTTTTCTCCTTCTTCTTCCTCTTCACGGTCTTCTACTTCATTTCTCTCTTCACGTTCTTCTTCTTCATTTTCCTCTGTTCCCTCTTCATCCTCCTCTACCTCACTTACGTTTTCCACTTCAAAATCTAATCTTACAATTTCTTCTGTCTCCTTGTTCACGTTGCTTTCTTCACTTTCTGGTACACTTTCTATTGTCACAGTTTCTTTATCAATTAAATATACTCTATAACCTTTTGTGTTCTGTGCATATCCCATAAATATAGCTCCCTTGCTTTTCATATCCAATTTTTGTCTTCGGTACATTAACCCACACTTCCTCTCCAAATATTCCTCGTAGGGATTGAAGGTCAAAATCTCTATGATACCACACTTGATAAGGTGTTTTATTTTCTACTGGACTCGTCCCAGTTCTATTTATCTAATACACAGCCATGTTCGCTGCCTCAGCCCAACATTTTTTCTCCATCTTTTTGTCAGACAACATCGTTCTTGTTGCTTCCATAATTGTTCGAAATTCTCTTTCTGCCTTTCTGTTTTGTTGAGGGGTATAAGGTACAGTGAGCTGATGTATGATTCCATATTCTTTTAATAGATTTTTTACTGAAACATTTACAAATTCTTTTCCGTTATCACTTCTAACGATATTTATGTCCCTTCCAATTTGGTACTTTAATTCAATTATGAACTCTTTTAATTTTTTATACACCTCATCTTTACTTTTTAAGAAATGAACAGTCTTATAATTAGAACAATCATCCTTTAAGAGAAACATATATTTTGAACCATATATTTTGAAGCGATAACTCCTTCATGGGACCACACAAATCCATATGAATAATTTCACCTATCTTGTCTGATCTCGATAAGCTCATTTTAAAAGTTTCTCTATGTTGCTTTCCCTGCACACATGAACTGCAAAACGTTGAGGTTTCTTTTACGACAATATTGTTCTGCTCTAAAACCTTTTTAATTTGTTAAAAGTTTTGATGAGCCATTGCTCTGTGCCACCAGTTTAAATTACGTTCTTCCTTTGCCAATAAGCAACTATCTCTCTCCAATACATTTTTATCTATTTTAAAAATCATTTTAAAAAGCTTGCCGCTTCATTTAGCAGTTGCACATGTGTTTCCTTTCTTCAATATTAACTTTGCCTTGTTAGAGTCACCGTAGAGTAATTCCCTTATCTAGCACACTTCCTTGTGAGAATAAGTTAATCTTCAAATCAGGAACATATAACACATCTTGAAGTGTAACTGGTTGAAAGCTTTTTCCATTATAAGCTAACATACTCACAGTTTCCATTCCAGTATTCTTCATTGTTGTCCCATCACCAATTTTTATTGTTTTGTGACTATGTAATGATACATATCGATCAAACAAATCCAACTTATTACACATGTGGTGTGACGCACCAGTGTCTAAGTAACAAACAGTGTTTATTTATGCTTCGGACAATGCAATCAACGCTAAACCGGCTTGTTTCTCACCTTGTTTTTGTTTTCTTTCATTGTTTTCAGTTTCTCTTTTTCTTCTCTCTTCCTTTCCTTCATTCTGTGCCCTTCTTTCTTACAATAGAAACATTCAATTGCCCTCCTACATTAAGCCTTTAGGTGCCCTTCTTTACCACAGGTAAAACATTTCTTTCCTTCTTTCTTCGCTATTAAAGCTACAGAGTTATCTTCTCTTCCTACTCTTTGTTCTTCTGTTAGTAGTCTCGATATTAAATTATTTAAATTCTGTTCATCACTTGGTACACTTTCCCATGCCGATATAAAATGTTTGAATTTTTCCGGCAACGCCCCTTTTGAAAACGTCTTTCAGAACATTTAATAAGTTGGTTTTTTATGACCATCTATAATCGTTACCTTGGCGCATTCTTTGCGAATTACATCCCATTGATGATAAAGTAAATAATTTTAATAAAAATATATTAACACTTTTGGATCTTCATGCTCCTTTCAAATCTGTAAAAATTATAAAACCTAGTGGATATCCTATGAACTTAGAGTAGCTATGCGAAAGGGAGACAAATTGTTTCAAACCTTTAGGCGTCTTTAGAATGACACAGTTATTGGATACAATAACGCAGGCGTAAATAAAAATTTAAGTAGTTCACTCAAATTATCAACTGTATCGGAAGGAAGATTGTTAATGTGCTGTATACCATTTTTATCGATTTATATTACTCATATTATTAACTTTTATATTAAAAATACCGTTTTCCCTTCTGTAAAACTGGAAACTGTCGATTGTGCGTCCAATACCGAAAGTTGCGAATCCGATTTTCATGTCTGACCTGTGCCCAATAAGTATCCTTAACCGTAATGTCAAAGATTTAAAAAAAAATGTTAATGTACAATTGCAGCAACACATTGAAATAAACAAGATCCTCTCTAAAGACGTTCAATCAGGATTTAAACATGGTCATAGCTGTACAACTGCTTTAGCTTGTATCGTTGATGATATATTAAGCGCGACAGATAGAGGTTATATCCCATCCTTGTCCTGTTGGACTTCACAAAGGCTTTTGACACGGTAAACTTTCATACATTTTACGAATATTTAATTCGGCGATAAGTAATATCTATTTTAAATCTTCTGCCTGGTGTAGTGAGAAGTTTGGTGTGGAAATGTTTTAATGTGTGTCACGATTTGGACCATTACTTCTTGCGAAATATTATATGGGCGATTATGGTGTTTTCCCCGCTGATCAGTTAATGCAGTGATTTAGTTATTCCAATATGAGAAGCTAGAATTTCTACTCTCTTTCTGGATATTCTATGAGTTTTTATAAACTTTAAGTTTTGTTGTTCCGATTCGTACCTATACATATAAAGAAATTGAGAGTCTTTAAAATTGTAGAGCACTTACTATAAGTAATAGAAGATGAGTATTTAAAAAAAGCTATGTACTTACAGCGTAAACGTTAGACACACTGCGAGATTTTCCAGTACGTGTCTTACTCCACACAGATACTCATCCTGTTCTTTTTTATTTCCGATGCTATTGAAGTTTGTATGGTTAACATCCCGAATTTCTGAGTTAACTTTTTCAAAACATTGTGATTTACATTGGCAGTTTTTTCCAGTTACACGAGCTTTTACTACTTTTCCTCTTATACTTATGTACTCTTCTCCTCTTGCTCTTTTAGATTTTCTTGAATTACGTTCCCATTTTTCTTCATTTAAACATTTTCTTTTTTGCCACGTTGTTGCTACAAGGTCTTCAATTGTTATGGACACCCTCATCATTCTATCGCTTACGTATTCAATGTCTTCGATATTGTTCTCCTTCCTGTTTCGCTTTTCCGATATACAGTAAAATGTAGTTTTCCAACTTGAATGTTCTTTTACCTTTTCGTTTCCTTTCTGATATCCCACAAACATCAATTTTGTGCTTTATAACCACTCAGGAAAAAATTACATTATAATGGTGAAGCTATCAAAAATTCAGATCTTAATTGTGTTTTCTCTGGTTCTTTATAGGGGGCGTAGCTCAGATGGTAGAGCGCTCGCTTAGCATGCGAGAGGTACCGGGATCGATGCCCGGCGCCTCCAAATTTACCTTTTAATTTTGTTTAAACGGTCTTTTAACCAACTATTCATCATGTAATTTATGTAGGGAAATATTTAATAAAGACCTTTATCGATGCTGCATTGCTTTATTAATATTTATAATCATTTAACAATCAACAATAATTAATTCAACAAGTTTTAAGCTTTTCCTAATACACTGTGTTAATTTATTATCGTACCCGACGTCATCATTGCAAGTATGCAACCAATATCACAGTGCAATACGCATCATACGCAAATCGCGTATTGCAATAAAAATACGGTGATATTGGTTGCAGATAATTAATTAACACACTGTATAACTGTAAGAATTTCTTGTAAACCACTAAAGATCGAATCATTAATACTACTTCCTGAATTACCAGTGACAGTATCAATCACCGAATTTTCAGTCTTCGAAGTTTCATCAACATCAATAACTATGCAAGTACCAACACCAACTTGTACTATTCCTAAGAGGTTAACAAGACTGCTGGTTATTTCTAAATCAGCCGAAGCAGTGGCTTTGAGTTGCAGAAAAATTGACATGCTATCGCCATTCTTAGTTTCATTGTCGCTGCCTTCAGCTGCTACATTGACCAATTGTGGTGCAATCGAGTTTAGCATCCACATAGACTTTAAATAATCCCAACTAGAATAAAAATAAGGGACGATGAATAAAATGATAAAAATTATCGACTAAGTTTACTTAATGTAATGTTAAGATCTAGCTTGTGAAAGTTGAGTGGAAGTTTTTTTATGTCATTATGTTCTGAATATGTCGAATCAAATAGAAAAAGAGGGCTGTGCGAAAGGTGAGGGGATAAGAGGATACAACAGGAAAAATGTTGGACCTAATAAAAGATATTGACAAGAAATGTTATAAAAAGAACGGAGATGAAAAAGTGTATAAGGAGCGAAGGAGATACCAAATTACCAAATTACCTGAAAAGAGGAAAGAAAGATGTAGTCAATACGCACAAACCAAAACAGAGACAGAGAAAGAACAAAGGGAAGAAGAGGGACCACATGGGTCCTATGATTGATTGGTGTAAAAGTCATAGAAAGCAAAGCAGTATAAAAAATAAAGGTAGTGTGGGGATACCCGTTTTGATAAAACTCATTCCAAACAAAAGTATTAATAGTAGAAGTTGAAGCTAGGGAAATGAATTAAGGTATTCAACAGAATACAAAAAGTTTTACTCAATAATCTCAGAAGTAGCGGATGAATGCGCTGAAATAGAGATGACCGCAAAGGCAAAAACGAACGGTAAAGAACAAATAAGGAGAAAGAGAAATAATCAAAGGTAGAAATAATGTTCATGCTAACAGTAGCTAGAGTCAAAATCTTCAAAACACCAAACAGGTAAGACGAAAGTAGAGCAGCGAACCACGGTAGGACCAAGAAAAACCGCACGAAAGAATTGTTGTGAAAATAAATAAGATAATGCAGGGCAGAAATGAGGCAGAGCTTATCGAAGGTTTAAGACAAACAAGAGATAACGTTGTTAACAATAAACAAAGATAATGCGAGAACGAAGGAGATACAGCGAATATGAGAGAATCAAAGGGGGTAAAGATAACCACGAGAGGAAGCAGAGATGAAAGAGAGAAAACAATAAATATTAGCGGATTAGACAAGCAACGGAGATAGAATAGTTACGGGTAGCAAGCGCAAAAGAGTGCAATAGCAATCCAAAATGGCCAGATTGATAAATTGTAGGACACAGAGCGAGCACTGAAGCATTCCCAGTGTTCGCGCGGCAAATAACCGGAAAACTTTAAAGAAGGTGTTGGTTCGTAATTAAATAAAGAATTAATAATAAATATGTATGATAAATGAAAGAATTGAATTTCTATTGATTGGTTTTAATTTAAATAAAAGAAAGAAGAAATACCAACATAAATTATAGAATAAAATAAAGAATATAGGGTTACTTGAACACCCAGTATATAGCCAAAAAATGAAGGAGACAGGGAGAAGAAGTAAACAAACAACAACAGAAAAAGAGGAACAGTGATAAATAAATAAAAACAAAACAAGATCTAACGATTATGATTAAGAAATTCAACGAATACAAGTAGAAAAAGTTTTGTAAAGAGCTTGAGTACTATAATTGGGGTATCAAAAGAATTGGCACCTGAAACTTGACATAACTTGACGAGGACGTCATCCAAAGATAGTACTGTAAGCTTTTCCTCGCTGCCTGGGAAGAAATTAACAGAAGTGAACTGCCACTACAGATAGAGAAGCAAGACGATACCTTCACCAAGGAGGAGATGATGAGCACCTTTTCCCAGCTGAAGGCCAGAAGAGCTCCTGGAAGGATAATATCACCAAAGAGTACGTAGAGCCTGCGTTGGCATAATCGACTATCAGTTAGAGTATTAGAAGAGAACACTAATACTCTACCCTCACTCAACCGTACACAATTTTGCATGATGGTAATGATCGACATCAGGAACGCGTTTAACTCAGCCCCCTGGTGTGAGGTAAAATGCGCCCAAAACCTTCAGTAAACAGCCTCCTGGGGACATACTTTCGCAAAGTGTGATTTTTATCGCAAATGGAGAGCAGAGGACAATGAGTTGCGAGGTGAACGTACTACAAGTCTGTAGCGTACGCTGCTGAAGGTATTTAGACGTAACTCTGGGCAAAGATTTTAGAATGACAGACCACTTAAATTATAATTTCGAAAAGCAGCGTTCAGATGCCCACACTCGGTTTCGCATATGAATAGAAAAGTCTTGGCAATAATAACAAGCTCCATGGTCCTTCACTACATCCTTTTAATCGGAAAACTTTTCTAGGGCGTAGTACTTGCCAAAATAACACAAGTATTTTATACAAATATAGGGTCGCAAACTTTTAACTTCAAGAAAAAAACTAAAGAGACAAAAAAGTACCATTAAAGAATAAGCGTTAAAACCCATAATTTCTTATGTTCGTATTCCATTGTGTTAAAAAGATCTTATAAAAAAAATCAAAGTGGTTGTAAATTTCATCGCCTTAGAGGGCGTTAGGGAAGCTCAACCAATGTAGTCAACCAGTAGTAACTACGTACAACATTTCAAATTCTACGGTCTACTTATAGCCGAAATAAAAAATAAAATGAAAATTTTTGGCTCAACTTTGATGGTTGATAGCTCGAAAACAAAAGAGTTGCGACCCATTGTTTATATAGAAAACTTATATTATTTTGGCAAGTACTATCTTCTAGTAAAGTTTTCCGATTAAAATCTGAACCAGCCTGTATATTATAAGTTAGAGAATCAATTTAAATGATGTTTTAATTGTAGTTATATTTGTATATATGTATAGGGCGCGTCATATGTCTAATTTAAAAACGTTTGGAGATATCATCATTAGCCGAAAAACGTAGATTTTTAGTTTTTGATAACCCAAATAATTTAGCATAAAAAATTGTTTATAATAATAATAATAATACTTTATTGAGCCAAATTAATAACAAAATAAGAATCAAACAAGAAATATACAATTCACAATTCAAGCTCAATGGGTGCAAGAGCAGAAAAGGGAAAATACCACTGATTTAACTTGCACCCCATAAGGTAGGCAAACATCGAAAGACCGTAGTAATAACCGTTATAAAAATAACTAAAGTAAATAATATATAAACTGTTATAATGCAAAAAAAATAAAATAAAAAGAAACATTGCAATTAAACGCACAAAAAAAAAATTGCGCATTACAAAAATATATCAAACACCCTCTCGCGTAAAAACCTCGCAGAAGCAGGAATCAAATACCAAAAACGAGCAACCTAGTACGAAAATGAACACTTGAATTTTGAAGACCTATGCGAAGGAATGTTTAAACAAAAGCTGTGCCGGAGATTCAAGTTATGAACATCCGTCCTGAACGTAATTTTACGACTCAGATAAGGCGGCTTGCCGGATGTAATAAGACCGTAGATGAAAGGCAAGTAGTAAACCTCAACCCTCTGTCGCATATTCAGCCAGTCACTAGATAACAAAACTTGCGATACGTGATCATCTCTTCGAAGATTATACATAAAACGAAGACACGAATTCTGCACAACCTGAACCCTCCTTAAACTCTCCTGGGACAAAGATGAACCAAATACAACATCACAATAATTAAAGTGAGACAATACAAGAGGATCACAAAGAAGTCGTTTCAAACCTTGCGATAAAAACATCTTACTACAATAGAGCCTTCTTAAGGAACCATAAACACGCCTACATAATACATTAATATGCTCACCAAACGCAAGCTGATCATCAATAATAAGACCTAAACTCTTAACCGAATTGGTTAGTCCCAACTATACTCCAAGCATCCTAATATTAATATCATCCTTATTGACAAATAAACTACCCTTTTTAGTAAATAAAATACATTGAGTTTTGTCAGGGTTGACCAAAAGAGCATGTCTTTTAATTTCCATACATAAATGATTTAAATCCTGCGTTACTTTATCATAAGCTTCCGATCGCTCACCAAGCAGGAAATGTAGATACAGTTGGGAATCATCAGCATAAAGATGATATGAACAATACTTTAACTTTGAGAATAAATTGCTGGTATAGATTGTAAAAAAGATAGGACCTAGAATAGATCCAACCAATTCAATAGAATCAGATAACAGTGACCCCACCTTAACCGCCTGCGTTCTATCAAACAGATAACTGTTAAACAAAGAAATAGCATACTCAGATATACCAACAAACTTAAGAATAGCCAATAAAAGGTCTTGATTCAATATATTAAATGCCTTACTAAAGTCAAGCAACACAAGCACAGTAGATCTATCAGCATCAAGACCTCTATATATATCATCAGTCAAGTCAAGAAGCGCTGTGGCACAGCTATACTGACTCCTAAAACCAGATTGTTTATTTGATAGTATATTATAAGTATATTACTATTATAAGTATCCAAAAAGAACCTTAGTTGCTCCGCCATATTTTTCTCTAACACTTTAGACAAAACCGTGAGGATGGTAATAGGCCTCAAATCTTTAAGCTCTTTAACTGGTTTCGTTTTAGGAACAGGAGTCACCAGACCACATTTCCATGCCTTAGAATAAATCGACATTATTAGACAAAAGTTGAAAATATGACAGAGAACATTCAAAATACGAGGACAACACAATCTAACCAAATCTAGAGAAATATCGTTCGAGCCAACACTAGTAGACTTCAACAAAAGCAAATACCGTTCAATAGAAGCCACAGACACTTTCTTGAAGGTAAAAGGTACGGTCACGATTTAATTAATTGGTATGATAGAAAGTTAATAACTCCGAGTCAGGCTTAATAACAACATCAGCAACAAATTTAGAAAAAACGAACTTCACAGTATCAGGGTCAGCCAGGTGGGGAGGTAAATCAGTGATATTCGACTTAACAAGATTAAATTTTCTCAAAGTCTTCCACATCAAACTAGGAGCTTCCATCATACAACTCCGTTCAATAAAAGCTCTTTTCTCACGACAAATAGCACCCGTGACAAAATTACTAAAAATGAACTGCTTATAATACTGAAAATGTGCGGGATTTCTCGTTCTCCTATAAGCCTTCGAGCAGACTCTCGAAGAGCTATCATCTTCTTTATATTTGCAGTAATCCACGGCAAAGAGATCCTCTTTCGAGTCCTAATAACGAGGGGTGCATGGACATCAAACAAGGAAATCATATTTTCATTAAAATAGTTAACCTTGTCATCAATAGAAGAAAGGTCATACCCCACCTTCCAATTCATAATATCTCAATCCCTATTAAACTCGTCCATGATAATACCTCGCAAATTGCGGAATCTTACTATCTTAGGTACAACCCCCGCCCTTTGCAATGACAGCTCACAAAAAATCAACATATGGTCAGAGAAGCCAAGATCAATTGTACCACAATTAACAACAAGCAGACCATCAGATAAAAAGATCAAATCATGAAGGGATACAGAAGTGCCCGAGATCCTCGTGGGTAGTTCAACTACCTCACGCAAGTCAAACATCGCAAATGCACTTCTAAGAGATACAGAAGATGGACTCTCAATCATGAAGTTAACGTTAAAGTCACCTACCACCACCATCTCATCAACTAAGGGATGCACGAACGAAAGAGACTTTTCGAATATTTCAGTAAATAACTTTAAATCATAATTAGGAGGTCTGTAAAAAACACCAAGAGCTATGCGAATTCCTTGTACAACTAATTTAATCCAGAGCTGTTCAATTTCCAGCGCAAACTGAACATCAATTATACTACAGGTATAACAATCTCTTACAAAGAACGCTACTCCACCACCACTAGTTTATCTATCCACTCTAAAAATATTGTAGTCTTTGATATACATCATTTGATCACATATATTAACATTCAACCAAGTCTCAGAAATACCTAACACATCACAACCTGACCGCAATAAATAATCGCCAAGTTCACTAAAGTCCCGACATCACTATATAATTAATAATTAATCAATCAAGATAATAAAAACTAAGTAATAATAATCAGAAACAGCTACTTGTTTGAAGCAAAAAAAGAAAAAAATAAATAAATAAATAAAATAAGCTAAACTAAATTAAATTTAAGAGAAAACAGAAAAAAAAAGATTAAATTGTTAGCAAATTAAACACTAAAAGAAAAATTATTCAAGAATATCTACAATAATGGAAAAATTAACAATAGCTATAAAAATTGAAAATTAAGCATACCAGCGTGCGAACTATTATACTAACATTAAAAGAAAGTAAAAAAATAAATAAAAGCATAAAGAAAACAAAAATAAATAAATCATTCTAAGCGGTTTCTTCTGACCTGACCAATGAAAGTCGATTACTGAGCTGGACATTAATTATGTCTGAGGATTGCCTTATGAAACCATTATTTTTAACATAAATTCGCCCATCATAGAACCAATAGTTCCTCTTCCCAAACTTAGCCCAGGCTAGTTTCAAAAGATTATGATTCTGTGCAGTGAACAGATCCGGACTATGCCTGGTTATCTGTTGTAGGAAGGTGGTGAAGTAAAGACGAGTAGTTAATTAATTCATACTAAATTTTATTATAAAAATTTTCAATGTATATACAAAACCTTAAAACTGCACTGTGCGATTGATTCCAAAACAATCGTGTCTTATTTACAAAAAATAAATTAACAATTATTTTGCGTCCTCAATTCTTGTTTGAGCACTGCTGATATCGATCCTTAATCGGCAATTGATCGATGGACCTGCTGAGTTGCAGCGCTTTGTCAGGTCTTGTTGCGACCGCTAACTGGGTCGGTTCGAACCTTGCGTTATCACTATTTTAATTTATTTGCTAATTTGTTTCTAAAATTTAAAAAAATAATCTTTTTTTGTCCTCCTGTATGCTAATCTTAGGCCCCTTCAGTTTACTTCTAGATCTACAGACAGAGGTTCGAGATTTATAAGAAACAAATTTAACCAAAATGGGTCGTGGATTTTTACTCTTACCAATAAACGATCCCATGCGGTGACAGTCTATATCAGTCTCAGCAAGTGATAAACCAAGTTGATATCTAAATAGTGAAACAATGCTAAAATCAATATTTAATTCATTTAATAACTCGTTTTCACGCCGAAGATCAGCATTCTGAATCTTAGAGAAAGTACTTTAGCACATCAGGAGGGTTGAAATCTTCATATGGGAAGGCATAAGTAAGAAAACTGTAGTAGAAGTACTAACAGAAGAAGGAACGAGAACGCACGCATTGACAAAGTTCATGAGGTCGACTGAGATGGTTAAAATAAACAGACCATATTATAGCAGTGACAGCTGTGCGCAATGCTATACAAACTACTTAACACGTAATTGCGAGTTATACCAAAGTCTCCGGTCCTCGTTTCTGCTATTCCGCGATCGGAATATTTCTAACAATGCCTCAATTAGTTGAATTGCCATGTTATACAGGGCTTCCCAAAACATCCGGGACGGTGCTATAAGTTTTGAACGAGCAAGAAAAACAATTGAAAATTTGGGGATCACTAAAGAGTCAAAAAAACTACATTCTTAGATAGTTAAAAAAGAAACTTGGTAATGAAAAAAGCAACACAACAAATGTTCAAATTGTCGACCTTCTTCGGTCTCGCAATGCCCAAATGCTCATAAATGGAATTTTGAACCATCAAGAGCATATCCCAAGTGATATTGGTGGTTTCTTCAAGTATACGATTTTTCAAATCATTTATTGATTCTGGTTTTGTTGGATACACTCTACTTTTCAGAAACCCCCAAAAGAAAAAATCGAGTGGTGTTAGATCGGGAGATCGTGGTGGCTCTTCTACCAATTCAAGGGTTTGGAAACGTGCGGCTTAAAAAGTCTCGGACTGCGCGACCAAAATGTGGAGGAGCACCATCTTGTTGGAACCACTTATTGTCAATACCATTAGGGCATACGGCACGTACACTTGGAACCACTTGATTTTCTAACAGTTGCAGATATCTGTCTCCGTCCAAATTTCCATTAATAAAAAATGGACCATTTACATTTCTCTCCCATAATACCAGCCCATGCATTAATTTTCTGCGGTCTCTGAGTATGATCTTCTCTTATTAAACGTGTATTTTCGTCACTCCAATAACGACAATTGTGCCTATTAACCTTACCATTCAAGTAGAAAATAAGCTCATCAGAGAAAACAACATTCAAAAGAAAATGTCTATCAACATCGCATTTTACACATACTATTTCACCGAATTTTTGAAGTCACCTTCGTTCAATTCCTGAACTGGATAAACTTATAGGGGAAACAGTAAATATATTTCTTTTCAAAATTCTATGGACAGAACTTTTACCAATTTCATGTACTTGAGACGCTTTTAATAAGGAACTTGAAGGTTGTTCAATAAAACACAGTAACACTTCTTAAAGGTATTTATTAAATATTTCCCTACATAAATTACATGATGAATAGTTGGTTAAAAGAACGTTCAAACAAAATTAAAAGGTAAATTTGGAGGCGCCGGGCATCGATCCCGGTACCTCTCGCATGCTAAGCGAGCGCTCTACCATCTGAGCTACGCCCCCTATAAAAAACCAGAGAAAACGCAATTAAGATCTGAATTTTTGATAGCAACACCCTTATAATGTAATTTTTTCCTCAGTGGATACAATTTTCTCTGAATTCCTTGAAGATAAAACCTTAAAATTTTGAAAAAATATAATTTCTTGATATTGTAATGACAAAGCACAAAATTGATGTTTGTGAAATATCAGAAAATTACTTTGCTTTTCGTAATATCAGCAATATTAGGAAAAGCTTAAAATTTGTTGAATTAACTATTGCTGATTGTTAAATGATTATAAATATTAATAAAGAAATACAGCATCGATAAAGGTCTTTATTAAATACTTCTCTACATAAATTACATGATAAAGAGTTACAAGAACGTTCAAACAAAAGGTCCGTACAGCTACACCCCCCTTTCAAGATATCAACATTTTGATACTACTGTTAGATATCACTTTATTAACAATATTCTCAGTAAACTACAAGTCATCAATTTATAACAATCGAAATAACTTCCAACGCCTCACACATTCGGCTCTCTAACTCAACTCTGACTCTCTTACTAAACTAATGCCCTTAACCGTCCTTCCCACTCCCTACTCTCTCTCTTCTTCATCTCTTTCTCTCTCTTAGCGGTATCGATCTTCACATTCGGCCTTGCTACCATTTGGGTCGTCCTCGGCCCTGACTTCCTCATCTTCCGAATTCATTTCTTCTTCGCTGTCTGTCGACTCATCTTCTTCTTCGTCCAGATCTGTTATGACACACCATGGCTTCATACGGTCGGATGCAAAAACAGAATGATAAGGTTTTTGACTTCTTGGTGCTCCAGGTATATCTTTCAACTCGTATCTATCGTTTGGTAAAACTTTATGGATAACGTAAGGTCCTTTGTAACGTAATGCCAGTTTTCTAGATTCGCCAGTAGCTGTTGCTTCACATTTTACTAACACCAAGTCTCCTTCTTGATATTTTCTTGGTTTTATGTGTAGTTTGTCAAATCTTTCCTTTTGATCTTTCTGTCGTTTTCTAATCTCATGTAGTGCGTCTGTTCTTATTT